AAAGAAAGAAAGAAATACGCTTTGGGCGCCTGAATGGCTTAGTTGGTTGAGCATCCAACTTCGGCTCAGGTCATGATCTCACAGTGAGTTCAAGCCCCACCTCGGGTCTCGCTGCTGTCAGCACAGAGCCTGCTTCTGATCCTCTGTCTCTCTCTGCCATCCCTCTGCTTGTGCTCTCTCTCCCTCCCTCAAAAATAAACAGTTAAAAAAAGAAAAGAAAAGAAATATGCTTTAATATTTTTTATTCCGCTTCACTTTAAAAAACAAATTCAGCCTTAAAAAGGAAGGGAAATCCGATGCATGCTACAGCGTGGATGAATCTTGAAGACATTCTGCTAAAATAACCAGGCGCAAAATGACAAATATGGTATGTTTCCCCTACATGAGGCACCTAGAGTAGTCAATTCATAGACATGGAAAGTAGAATGGCGGTTGCTAGAGGCTGGAGGTGGGGTGGCAATTAGTGTCTAATGGGTACAGAGTTTCAGTTTGGGAAGATGAAAAAGTTTTGGAGATGGAGGGGGGTGATGGTTACCCAACAGATTGGGTACACTTAATACCCTTGAACTGTAGACTTAAAAATGGCTACAATGGTAAATTTCTGTTGCGTATATTTTACCACAATCCAAAAACTTAAAAAATTCTAGGGGCAAACCACCCACACGATCTTATAACCTGTTGGTTTGAAACCCTTCGTTGGAAAAACACTGGTCCCTGTGATGAGGTTGGATGAGGTCACCCAGGAGAGAACAGAATGAAAGATGATGAAGGTCGGGGCACAAAGGAGAGCCTTGAGGTATGCCGGCACCTAAGGGTCTGGAGAGGAGAGCTGGCTCTGGAAACAGGCTGCATAGAGTAGAGGGGAACAGGTGTTAAGGAAACCAAGGGATACTGGTGCCAGGCAAGGAGCAGTCACCTGTGACACACGCAGCAGAGGGATCAGGTAGGATACCGCCCACTTGGATTTGGGGAGGATGGGTCAAACAAAAGAAGGAGTTTCTAGAATCAGGGGCATGAAAATTGTACCCTCTTCCTTTAAGCCCTCCACTGCCTCCATGCTCCTTTGTTAGTGAAGCTTTTACTTCACATAAACTTGCATCCCTAGAGTGCTGGGGACTTCTAGGACTTACACCTTAACAGAGGGTCAGGGAAAGGGCAATAGTTGTTTTTGTTGTTGTCGTTGTTGTTTCTTTTTTAGGTAGAAAGAAAGGTCATTGCAGATTTTTGTACAATCTGGTCTCAACCTGCCTTTTTTTTTTCACTTTAATTTTTTAATTTTTATTTTTTTAAGGTTTATGTATTTTGAGAGAGGGAGGGAGGGAGGGAGAGAGAGAGAGAGAGAGAGAGAATGAGAATGCAAGTGAGCAGGGGAGGGGCAGAGAGAAAGGGAGAGAGAATCCCAAGCAGGCTCTGCATTGTCAGTGCAGAGCCAGACTTGGGACTGGATCCCATGAACCCTGGGATCATGACCTGGACTGAAATCAAAGTCAGACCCTTAACCGACTGAGCCACCCAGGTGCCCCATAAAAACATAATTTTAAAAATTATATTTTCTAAGCACTTGTAGCTAGTATATAGAAATAAATTTGATTTTTTTGGTATACTGATTATATAATCAGCAACCTGGATAATGTATACATAAGGACAATAATTTATCTGTAGAGTCTTCTGGAATTTCTACATAGACTTTTTCTCTTTTATCCCAACCCTATACCTTAATTAGTTTTCTTGTCTTATTGAGTTGGCTAGGACCTTTGCTGTAATGTTCAATAAAAATGTCATAGTGAATATCCTGGCCTTAATCCTCATTTTTTCCTTCTTTTTAAACTTTGTTTTTAAATAGCTTTATCAAAATATAATTTGCCCACTTAAAGCGTACAGTTAAATGACTTGGGGTATATTCACACCATTGTGTGTCCATCACCGCCATCAACGTTAGAATATTTTCATTACCCCAAAAAGAAACCCAGGACTCCTTCACCATCATGACCCCTGGTACTCTCATCTCTCCCAGCTGTAGGGATATATACACACTCTAGTGTATTTCCTGTCTCTATAGGTTTGTCTCTTCTGGGCATTTCATACAAATGGCATCATATGCTATGTGTCCAATATGACTGGCGTCTTTCATTAAGCTTGATGTTTTCAAAGGTCATCCATGTTATGATATGCGTCAAGTACTTCATTTCTTTTTGTTTATCTTTTTGTTACTCAATAGGATTCCATTTATAAATAGGCCACATTTTGTCCGTTCTTCAGTGGTAGAGATTCGGTTCTTGTTTTTGCTGTTATGAATAATGCTGTGATGAGCATTTGTGTGCAGGTTTTTGTGTGGACATCCATTTCCATTTCTCTTGGGTATATACTGGCAAGTGCAATTGCTGGGTCATGTGGTAACACTATGTTACGCCATTTGAGGAATTGCCAGACTCTTTTCCAAAGTGGTTACACCATTTTATACTCCCTCCAAGCAGTGCATGAGCACTCCAATTTTTCCACAGTTTTTAAAACACTCATTATTGTCTATCCTTTTGGTCATAGCCATCTCAATGGGTTTGAAGCGGTATTTCGTTGTGGGTTTGATTTCGTATTTCCTTGATGACTAATGATGTGGAACAGACTTTCAAGTACTTCCTGGCCAATTGTATATTTTCTTTGGAGAAATGTCTATTCAGATCTGTTGCCCATTTTCAAATTGGATGAGTTGTCCTTTTATGATTGTGAGAGTTCTTTGTAGATTCTAAATATAAGTCCCTTATCAAATATATAATTTCTAAAACATTTCTCTCATTCTGGGGGTTGGCTTTTTTACTTCCTTTAAGCGTGAAAGTTTTTAATTCTGGTGAATTCTGATTCATGTATATGTATTTTGCTGTTGGTCTCTTGTGCTTTAGATACCGTATCTAAGAAGTCACTGCCCATGCCCGCTGACCAGCGTCACAAAGATTTACCCCTGTGTTTTCTTCTAAGAGTTTTATAATTTTAGCTCTTAGGTTGAAGTCTTTGCTCCACTTGAGTTGAGTTTTGTGTATGGTGTGACCAAATCTAACCTTAAGGGGAATGATGGTTCAAGTGTCTGCAGTGAGTATATCTGCTTAGTGTTTTGGTTTTTTTATAGATAAGCTCTAAGAGATTAAGACGACTCCGTTGTAGAATATGCCAACACATTTTGCTTACTTGTTTTATGGTATTTGGATATTCATTTTAGCAGATGATTTTTCTACCTTGGTTGGGTGATATATAGGTTTTTCTTGCCTTCAATCTTTTGATGTGATAAATTCCATTAGTAGATGTTAAACTTATAATTTTAGGGATAAACCCAGCTTGTTGATAGTGTATTATTTATTTTCTGTGACGTGAGGTTTTGTTGAGTAAAATTTTTATTTAAGATATTGTATCTTATGTTATTGAATGCTACTGGTGTGTAATTTTCGCTTATAATGCTGCCTTTGTCTTGTCTTAAAACCAGTCTTGTAAAAGGAGTTGGGGGATATTCCCTCTTCATTCTGTGGAATGATTTATGCAGGTTTGAGATCATCTGTTCTTTGAAAGCTTGGTAGAACTCGCCTGCACAGCCATCCACACCTAATGTTTTCCTTGTGGGAAGGCCATAAGTTACTAATTCCATTCCTTTAATGGTTAAAGATGATTTGGGTTTTCTATTTTTTCCATCACACAGGAGCAGAGGTTGGGTCTACTTTGTCCTGCCTTTCGTGGAGAAAACTCCCCTGTACGCTCTCTTCCCTCCAGCCTTGCTCTCTCCTGTGTCGGGAGGGTGCAGATCTGGGCTGCCTGCATGTGGCTGGTGCAGGCCTGAGACCTGAGGATATGAAACTGGGTCAAGGAAAAGCACAGCCTGACTCTGTGCTGTATCTGAAGTGTGTGTTTGAAGCCTCTCCTCGAGGAGCCACCCCTCCTTCTGTTCGGCTGCCCTGAGAAGCAGGCACAGCCCAGGAGATGGGACCACAGGGGCTGGAGGGTCTACCCAGGGGCTGGTTCTGGAGGGGAAGGGTGCCTAGTGGGGACCTGGTGGAGATGGACGGTCCCCCAGAGAGGAGAAAGATGCCAAGCTGACTGCCACCGGGGTGTGTGCTGTCCTTATCATTTCTCTGGTCATGACCTTATCATTTCTCTGGTCAGAGCAAGCTTGTCTTGAGCACCTGCTGCAGGGCTGGGACTCGGGTAAGGCAAGCCAGGCACCCAGGGGACAGAACTCATGAAGGCCTCCTCTTTGGGGTCTACCCTGCCCTTGCACGAGCCTGGGATCAGGGGCTGACTGCAATTTTGCACCCCGGGAGTCTTGCTTGCCTCAGTGCCGTCCCGCGTCTGACCTGCTGTGTGCCCCTTCCGCTCTTGGTCGGGGTGTCAGCTCCCCGTCCCTTCCCCAGAGGTCCCCCAGAGGCACAGTGCTGTTCTCTCACTCTTCTCCCTACCCTTTTCTCTGGCCAGTTCTTTTCTTTTTGACATCTGTACTTTTTCAGGGAAATTTTACCTCTTAGAGGACTTGGCATCTCTTCTTTGACTTATCCAGGCCCACTCACTTCTCATCTAAGACCCTCTCATCCAAAACATCTCTAGTTTAGCCCTTCACCCTGTGTGTAAGGACCCCCGCCCCTTCCCCACCACACACAGGGGAAGGATTCATTAGCTAATGATATTATTAACATTCCTTAAGGGTTTATGAGCCAGGCTCTGACCTTAGGAGATAATCCTAAAGGAGGATTATTTCATTTAATCCTTACAGCAGTCCTGCTAAATAGAGACAGTCACCCTCATTTAATACTCAGAGAGGGTGAGTAACTTGTATGAGGTCACAAAGCTTGTAAGACCCTTAAAAGAGGTGTTTTTTTTTTTTTAATTTTAATGTTTATTTATTTTTGATAGAGGGAGACACAGAATCTGAAGCAGGCTCCAGACTCTGAGCTGTCAGCACAGAGCCCAACGTGGGGCTCGAACTCACAAACCATGAGATCATGACTTGAGCCGAAGTCAGACACTTAACTGACTGAGCCACCCAGGTGCCCCTAAAAGAGATGTTTTACCCATCTCCCAATTCCCAGGACCCAGCACAGTGCCTGACATTGATCATTGAGTGAATGGATACATACAAAGGGAACCTCTAAACTTTTCCTAAAAACAGACAAACGTCAACTAAATGTGCACTCGGCTTTGAACCAGGGGGAGGAGGGGATGTTACCGAAGACTTATTAGATATGATACATGTTCTTAAGGAACTTACAGCACACTTAAAGAGACAGACATCAAAAATATGTAAACTGTATAAATAAGCCTGTAACTGTGTGGCATAGACGACAAATTTCGTAGGTTTCAAAGGTGAGAGCAGTTGGGATGATGAGTAGCCGGGTGGGACCTGATGTGGGCTTTGGAGAGCCAGTGCGCTCCAGGGGGGTGATTCAGGGGGCAGGCTGGGGTGTTGAGGCTGCAGGAGCAGGTGATGGAAACCACCGAAGGCTTTTGAATTTCTTTTATTCCCTAGTGCTCTGTGAGCCGGGGGGCCTCTCTGGTCTCTGCTGAGTCCTCTGCAGTGTGAGTGGATGGCCAAGAGGGCTGCTCTCTCTCTCCCGGCTCTGATGAGGTGGGCCGGCCCTTCCGGACAGAGGCTTGGGCCGGGCTTTGCCAATCCGGTTTGCAAGGGGCCCACGGGTCCTGCAGAGCCCCTGGATGGTGGGGGATGGAAACGAGGCTGGTAAGCCAGGAGATGGCGTGTGGGACACCGCACAGCGAGGGTGCCAAGCTTATTGGGAGAATGAAATGCATCCGTGCTCACCCCAGCCTGAGAGTGTATGCGATTTGTGCTGCTTCTGTTGAGTCTCTGAGCAAAGGAACCTAAGCCTCCGCCTCCACCCCCCGCCCAACCCCAGCTCACCATTCTTCCCCCTCCATTCTTCCCCAGCCCATCAGGCTGAGGATCAGTATTTCTGGGATCACCACTGCTGTTTCCCCAGAAATAAACCACAACCTTCCAAAAGAAGGCTTAAAGGAGGCGGGACTCGCCTAGTGTTTTCTCTTTCTTCCCTGTCAGGCTGGGCTGCTGTCCTGACACAGGTTCATGACTCTGGGTCCAGTGCATGTAGAGCTGATGTTCCCACAGCTCCCACCCAGTGCCCTCCAGCTGGTGGGGTGGGGGCATTCTGCACATCAGTCTCACTCAGCCTCGCGTTGGGTTGGTTGATTAAGTGCTTGCCTTCTCGCTTCATTCGTTCATTCGTTCATTCATTCATTAGTTTGTTCGTTCATTCAGCAAGCATAACTTCCGTGCCCTTTCTATACCAGACCTTTGGTGTCCAATATAATAGCCACTAGCCACGTGTGGCTGTGGAACACCGGAAATGAGACAGATCTAAACTAAGGTGTGTTCTGTGTAAGTATAAAATACACGCTAGATTTCAGATTTCAAAGACAATATGAAAAAAGATGTAACATATCCCACTAATTTTTAAATTGATTATATGTTGAAATGACAATTTTTTTGATATATTAGATTAAATACAAATATATTGTTAAAATTAATTTCACTTTTTTTTTTTTTTTTTTTTTTTTTTTTTTTTACTTCGTAGAAACCTTTTTATTTTGAGAATTGTAGACCCACATACAGGTGTAAGAAATAGTCCGGAGAGAATCTGTATACCCTACTCCTGTTTCTCCAGATGGTAACATCTTGCAAAATTATAGTACCGATGTCACAACCAGGAAATTAACATTGATACAACCCATCAACCTTATTCAGACTTCACTGGTTTTACACACCACTCATTTGTGTGTCCGTATGTAGTCACTTCTATGGAATTTTATTAGGTGTTTTTATTGTGGCTAGCAGAACATTCTAGATTATGCTTGTGGCTCCTGGTGTATTTCTGTTGGATTGTTCGGCTCGAGATGTAGCAAACAGGTTCCCTTTCAAGGAGCTCATAGGGGGAGAGGGACCAACTACTCATGAAAAGTTCACAAACTCTGTTACGTTCTAACTCTCTCCAGGACAGAGAGACTCCTATGGTCTCAGTCCTTGTGGAAACCTGTGTCTTCAATGGATAAAGGAGACTACCGGTTTGAAACAGGGTGGGGGCTCCAGTCCCCCCACCTGGCTCCCTCTTCCTCACCCCCACCCTCCACCACGTCCCCTCCCTCCTCTGCAGAGTCTCACAGGGTACCCCAGTGCTCCACAGAGCCAAGCTTGGGAATCACTGGACGAGGCTGAGGATTTGAGGGGAGTCTTGAAGAAAGAGGAAGGTCTTGCCCTAGAGGATCAGAGAAGCAACCCTAGTCGGGTCTGGTGGAGCCGCTGTAACAAAGTACCACAAACTGGGCGGCTCCAACCGAAAGTTCTGGAGGCTGGAAGTCTACGATGAAGGTGTCAGCAGGGCTGGTTCTTCTGCGAGCTGTGAGGGGGAACCCGTTCCGTGCCTGTCCCGTAGCTTCTGCGGCCTTGCCTGTCATCTTTGGCCTTCGTCGGCTTATAGGGTCTCCCCCTTCATCTTCACATGGCGCCCCCCCGCCGCGTACGTGTCGCTGTCCGAATTTCCTTTTTTTATTTTTTATTTATTTATTTATTTATTTAAATTTTTTTTTTCAACGTTTATTTATTTTTGGGACAGAGAGAGACAGAGCATGAACGGGGGAGGGGCAGAGAGAGAGACACAGAATCGGAAACAGGCTCCAGGCTCTGAGCCATCAGCCCAGAGCCTGACGCGGGGCTCGAACTCACGGAACGCGAGATCGTGACCTGGCTGAAGTCGGACGCTTAACCGACTGCGCCACCCAGGCGCCCCGAATTTCCTTTTTTTATATGGGGGCCCACCCTACTCCAGTATGACCTCATCCTAATTTAACTAATACCGTCTGTGATTCCCAAGTAAGGTCACCTTCACCGGTAGTGGGGGTCAGGACTTCAACATACGAATTTCGGAGGGACGGATACAACCCGTAGCGGGAGCCAAGGCTGGTGCAGGAATGAAATGACTGGAGAAGTTCAGCCGGACGGGGTTCCCCAGGTTTGGGAGAAGAGTGTGGGCTGCTGACCCCGGAGACACGCGCCCACACAGGATCTGGGACACGTCATCAGAGGGAAAAGACAGAATTAGCGGGAGCTCTCAGAGCGGTTGGACTAAATGCATGGATGAGTGTTTGAGGGGACCCGCCCCCGATGTCTACATCACTCCTCTGCCTTCCAAGGAGCCAGGGGTCCCCACTCTGCTCACTGTGGTGTGCCATTTGGGCCCGGAGTGCCAGAGGACAGCAGGAAGGCTGTGTGTGTGCCCGCAGCTCCTCTCTCACCCCGTGCTCCACTTCCCTTGCCCTCCTGAGGTTCTTCTGAGGGGGATGTTACCACCCGGCCCTTCACAGAGAAGTAGTGAGTCACTGGTGAGTCAGGAGCGGGGACAGGCGAGGGAGCATGGGGAACCTGGCAGTTAGGCCCATTAATCCCACTGAAAAGGCTTCCCGGCTGGCAGGCGTTTCCGCTCTGATCCGGGTGGGAAGGTCCAAGCACCTTCTCGGAGAGGCCTTTTCTGACCAGTTCCTTCTGTGGACCCGGAGCTGGGGGAGGCCTGGGGGGCCTTAGCGCTTGCAGACTCCTGGTGGCCCAGCTGAGCTCTTGGCTCCTCAGAAGATGACATTGGTCTCATCTCCCTCTCAGATGGTTTTGAGGGACCAGAAAGGTGGCGCTGTTTCTCTGAATGGATGCCCCATCACCTGCCACCTGCCCTGTCTCACGCGGGGTCACTCTTGCCAGCCCCAGGAGAAGCCATCACCTCCGGCCTCGGGGCCCCTGCAGGTCTTGGCACTCTCCTGGAACATCCTTCCTCCAGACCCACCTGCTGCCTCATCACCCACTTCCTGTCCTGCCCCATATCGCCTTCTCAGAGACGCCCTGACCCGAAACTCCTTACCCCCTCGGCGCCCTTTATTTATTCCACGGCACCTTTCACCCTCTGACACACTGCACGTCGATGACCTGTTTGCTTATTGTCGTCCTATCCGTCTCTCTCTGGTCGAGGTCCCTCCCTCTGGGGCGGGGCTTTTGTCTTTACTTTGTTCATTGTTGAATCCGAGCCCCCAGCCTGGCAGGGCTGTTCGATAAACATAGAATAATATAATAAATATTTGGAATGTGTCTATGTATGTAATAAAATAAAAATAAAATAGCGTGAAGACAAAGGAAAGGTCTCCTCAGTCAGCTGTGAGGGACAACACAAGCGATTTGCTGGTTAATAATGGAAAAGTGGTTGTCCATTTCATTTCACAAACTTGGTGCGAAAGAGCTCATTTCCTTTTTTTTGTTGTTTTTTTTCCTTTTAATTAAACCTTATCCAGGGGCGCCTGGTTGGCTCACCTGGTTGAGCATCCGACTTCGGCTCAGGTCGTAATCTCACGGTTCGTGAGTTCGAGCCTCGCACTGGGCTCGCTGCTGTCAGCCCAGACCCCGCTCAGATCCTCTGTCCGCCTCTCTCTGACTCTCCCCTGCTCACATTCTCTCTCTCAAAAATGAATAAACATTTATTTCAAAAAAAGAAAAAGCCCACCTTATCCACCAGCTGGTGGGTAACTGAGTCTATCATCATGGAGGTGCCTTCCTTTTACCCC